ATATTAAAATATTACTTAAATACAGAGGGTGGAAGAAGAAGGAGAGAAAAGTAGAGAGAGAGAGAGAAAGAGGAATCGCATTTCACTTGCAAGAAGGTGTAAAAACCAAAAGATGAATGGAAGACATGGAAGGTATGGACAATAGAAAACAGAAAGGAAAAAGAGAGGGGTAAAGATGAGAAGAGCAGGGAGAGAAACAAAGAGAGAGAGGGGTGGGCAGAATGGGAAAGGGAGAAATAATTAACAAGAAAGGAAAATGATTACTTTACATATTGAAAATGACCTTTCCAGCTACATTTAATACATAAAGGGTATATCAAGTTATATTAAGTTGTGTTATGTGATATTATGTTTGATGAGTGGTCAACAAACTCACAGTTTCCATTTTAACCTACAGGTATTCCTTTCCATGTCTTTTTTTTCTCTCACTATTCCAGTTACTTGTTTTCATTAGTAGAAGTAGTAGTAGTAGCCAGTGGGAAAAACTACATGCAATTTCCTGCTCACAGAAGATCGTTAGGATTAGGTGTTGTATAGGTGCAATTTTCTCACATTGATATGAAAGTATTTTATTGTGTTTTGGTGTTTCAAGACCTTTATTGCTCACTGCTCCCAAGTAAAAAATTTTCACTAATAGAAGTAGTAGTAAAACATTTAGTACTATCATCACCATAATAATTTTTCAATGTTGTAGGGTCCATAATATGTATCCGTTATTTTTTCATCTTTTTGGGTCATCTTCTTTTTCAAATATGATCCTGATAACTCCCTTCTACATTGATTGTTGGTGTTCAGGTCTCTTTGTGTGCAATGATGGATTTCATGCAGTCAACCAGTCCTTTCGTTGTGATCTCAGTGTAGATTGTCTGGACTCCAGTGATGAAACAGGCTGTGGTAATTTCATGTTCATTTCACTTGAATTTCTTTTTTATAGTCTCCGAAATGTTATCTGTCACGGTTATAATTCAACATGCAGGTTTGTTTCTTACAAAGTCCGAATGTAGGCAAATGCCTATATTTTAATCAAAGATAAAATGATTTACTAGTCAGGGTATCTTCTGTAATGTTAAAAATTAAAATATTTATTTTTGTTGTAATTATTCATGTAAGCCTCATTTAAATCACTTCAAACTTTATAAGAAGTATAAAAATAACCTTTTAGTCCATTGCTATTCATAGCAGTACCCAAAACATTTGGTTTTAATACTTGCATTATGTAGTATTAAAAGAATGATGATCTCTTTTGCACGCAACAGACTGCTTTGTTGGAGTCATCAACCTACAGATTTTCAAATGCCTTTGAAGTCACCTATTGAAATGTTTGAACATGATGATGACATATTACATTATCTGAACTTGATTAATATAGGCTATACGATAGAGTGTTAGAATAACCGTTGAGATGATGATTTTAAAGGGAAATGAAAGAATGGTGATTTCTTAATTTTACACACAACAAACAGCTTTGTGGGAGTCGATTCCTTCTACCAGGAATCCTTGTTACCCAAGCTTGTTCAGTGTGTATATCTTGATGAATATTACTGAAAGAACGTACTGGTAAATGTCAATTACATTGAAATTGAAATGCTGTCAAATTTGTACAGGTAAGCCTCTGCAAAGTGTTGATTTCTTGGGTAGGATTCGTGACCACCTTCAATTAAAGAAGCAGGACATTGTGTCTAAAAGTCATTAAATAACCACAGAACCAAACAATGTCTCTTATTCTTTCAGTCCACACGCTTTATCTTGGAGACACAAGAGTACTAATCAGTCCTGGTTACAGATCGTACACACGTGCCTTGTGGCTCTTCAACTCAAGCGCTCCTGCTCTTACTAACTCCATGAAAGTAGCATTCATTATCACTCTCAACTACGGATCTCTTTCTTATGGTGATGTTTTACGGATTGGAGCCGGTCTGGTACCCAACAATGATTCTGAGGTCTTCAGTGGAAGCCAGCAATTTCCAAGGGGGGAGCGCATTCTAGCTGCGTCAGAGATGTTCATTGAATTTACATCAAGTTCATACTACAACTACTACTACTTCCAAATGGAGATATCTTTGGGTTATCTCACAGGTAAACATGACAAATTAAAAAAAACAATCTTGCTTTAACATGCAGCACATATAAATGTGGCTCACTTTAACCCAGTATTGCAAAATTAGAATAGAGGAACATAAATTGCCTCAAGAATAATTTGTTTGCTTTTACCATCATGACAAATGATATTGCAAATGTAGCATCGCTGAGGGCACACAAGAAATAACAGTAAAGAGACATTAATAAACAACTCAACCACTGGTAAACACCTTCAAGATAATTTGGGGGCCCCAGCTCTTTGAATTTTCTTCAAAATTCATTGTAATTCTTTTCTTTTTTTAAGTCTGTTGAAAAAGTACTGCAATAAGTCTGTCACATATTTTTTCATGGTCAAATGAAAATGTGTTAGTTACCCTACACCACAAAACCAACCAAGAGTTGCATGGTGTGGTTTTCAATTAGAGGTTCATAGAGGTGCAATAGGTCGGGATGGTCAAATTTGATTGTCAAGTATGTTGTGAGTATACCTTAATACCGTAATTAACGGTGTATGAACCGCACCTTTTTGCCGCCGAAAAAAATTCAAAGTCGGGGGTGCGGTTTATGCACGGTACACCAAAAAAAAGTTTCGTTTTATGCCCCTCCACCTGGCGCTATGCCTGGCAATGTCTCCCAGCTCTGTAATCGGTGTGTTGACTCACCACTCTGAAACTAGAACAACACTCAAATTTGTTTGTCATCTTGGTGTGAAAGTAATCTCTCTGATAGATTTCAATATGTAGTTGATAATAATAATTCCTCCAATTTTTCTTCTATTACACGGCGTACCACAAGGTTCTATCCTAGGTCCTCTACTGTTTTTTAAGTCGGCAAAAAAAAAGTCGGCAAAAAAAAAAGAGGGGTGCGGTTAATACACGAGGGCAGTTTATACAACGTTAATTACGGTAATAATAATAATAATAGGCAATTCTATAGCAACGTCTATCTAGAAATTCTATTCCGAGGCGCATTTATTATTACCCCTGCTTTACGCCTAGCTGCCGTATACAACGCTCCAGCATTTCAAGGAATGAATTCCTGCCAGGTAGCCATTTACATCACCTGGGTTGAGTGTGGCAAATGTAGATCAATGTCTTGCCAAAGGACATTAGTGCCACGGCGGGACTCAAACCGCTGACCTTGTGATGGACAGTCCGGCGACTTATCCACTCGACCACGATACCTTCTACATTAATTCAAAATCTGGAAGCACCAAATAATCTAAAAGTGGTATTTTGAGCAGTTTTGTGTAGACTTGTCGATGTTTGTCTGATCTTTCTTGTTGTTGTAATAATTGTTTTCATATGACAATGGCTACTGGTATTATTTTGATTCCTATAACTTTAAAATGCTCTTGCATTGATACTTGGTCAAAATAAGAACAGCGTGTACTTAATTGGTATGCTATGTTTTAGGACAATTTGATAATAGGGAGTTATAATCCTCTTTTTGTCACCTTGCACATTTCTTTGTGGGTCAGCATGCTTGAATATACTACAAATTTTAGTTTTCTCAAATAACATTTTATGCTAGAATGGAGACCTCATTGTTTTCACTGGGTTAGGAACATCATATTGGGATGATTTATATATCATTTTAAGCTGAGAATCTCCTCTTTTAGGATCTGGTCGCTTTTTGATATGTTTTTGTTTCCTGGTCACATTTGGACTTTTAAGGCATACTATCTTAATCTATACGTTTTTCTTCTTTTATTGTAAATTACAGATTCTTTCCAATGCAAGACAGGTCCATTGGCAGTCAATGGATCCGCTATATGTGATGTGATACTAGACTGCAGAGACGGTAGTGATGAGGCATCATGCAGTGAGTAAAAAGAGATGATTTATGTGATGTTATCAGAAATCTTATTTATAAAAATAATCAAATACATGTAGAGATTAGGAAGAAACACATAAAGGATCCCTTTACTGTTCATATCGGAACATGATTGTTGATCGAGATGAGATGGAATTTGTACAAGTTTTCTTAATGTTTTTTTTGCTTTTAATAACTTTTGACTTGAAACATAAATGTCTGTAGACTGTAACAGGACGTTACGTAGAAAGATATGTATGTGGAATATCGGGCTTGATTCATGTAACTACCTGATATAATAAAATGTTGAAAAGGTTGAAAGGTTTAAATTACTACCCTTGTTTTTATAATAACAGTGTCTCTCAGGGTGCAGAATTGAACCATTCAGCTTTCAACTCTTACCGGTACCCATTATACCCAGAGGTGCACTGTTGCACCCCAGGGTGTTTCTCTTTAAGTTTTAGAAGAAAGTTCACAGTACCACTACCATACTTCCGTTGTGCTTCCTTGGTATGCATCGATATATAATTACTTCATAATAACAATTAGTTACATTTATACAGCGCATTCCATGATGTGTGAGAGCATGCCCCTTTTGTCTTGATATTTCATGCCTCATTCATCTTTTAAAGTCTAATCTTTCCACAAGAGCAAGTATAGGTAGTTTGAAAACATTTTTAGGTATCACTATGCTTGCCCTTTCTGTGATGTAAGCTCTATGGCTATATCTAATACGCAAAGTATGGTTTTCAGTGTTCAACCCCGAAATAATTGCTTGAAATATTCACATTGGAACTGTCTCTTAGGGTTGCTGATGTTCACAATGTAAATTTCATCCTTTAGTGTGACAAGTATTTTATTCATAAAGTGGTTCTTGCCCTTCATAACCCGTTTTGGAATCTATTCCTAAATTACTTCCTTGTAATTTTTACTCAAATATTTGTCTGTCTGTATGCGGGGTGGTTGAGGGTGTATGAGTGTTTGTAAAAAAAGCTTAAAATTGATAACATTTGTTCATTTGGGGTAAATCTTGGATCCATGTATGTTTTCTTTTTTTAACTTTTCCTGGACATTAAATGAATAAATAAATATATTGTTCCACACAGTACATGAGCTGGACAATGGAGAACATCTTTATCTGTACTCGCCAAATTATCCAAATAGCTACTACGGCAACACCTCCATCCTTTGGCTCTTCCAGGCGAATTCATCAGCTGGAGGCAACTTCTCTTTCGTTGTGACCATCAACGAGTTGCACCTCGACAGCTATGATACTTTGAAGATAGGACAAGGCCATGATGCCGATGGCTTCACTGTAGTCAATTTCACTGGCTTTACATCCCTGGACAACCCATATTTTACCGTCGTTGAAGGAGATGAGCTCTTTATTGAATTTGTGACCGATGACTATTACGATTCAGGAGTTTTTAGCATCGATATTGGACTCTACTTGCGAGATGGTACAGTTATTACACAAAATAACACTTTTAATTCTATTTAAAACAAACTTTCATATTCCATCTAAGCCAAATTGAGAAAAGATTCTAAGATACAAATAAATGTGCATTGTTTTCTTTCAAGATATTAGGAAGAGGGCTGGTTGCAGCAAGACTGCTGTGCACAATACTAATTCAGCTTCAAAATTTCAAGATCATAGCTAATTTCTTGACCACAAAAGGTGCAATTGTTCAACAAAATGTGCCCTACCCCCTTTGGAGATAACCATGTAATTCACACCAATGTTTTGAAAGAGCCATCTTTTTTGGGGGAAAATTTTATGGCAGCTCTGACAAATTGTAGTGTAAGCACCATATTTTGCCATTATAGCTATGAATAATCAAGTTCATATGATGGAATGGTTTAAGTTGTGTTTTTCTTCAGGTTGATGCATTTGCATGCATTTACCAGTAGTAAACTTTGAAAAATACTGCCTGTTACGTTACGACTGGATTATAAGTACCAGTATGTTAATAATTTGAATCAAATATATATTAGAAATGCATATATATCTACTCGTAGATTGCTGACTGCTGACTTGACTCATTCATATTCTACTAATTCAATTAAACCCGACCTTACGTCTAAAATCATGTTTAACAAAAGGAAAACTTTGAAAGCACTCTAAATTTCTTTGTTAAAGGGCGAGTACACTCCAAAAATAACTTTCTTTCAATAGAAGCAGAAAAATCATACAAACCAATAAAAAATTGAGCAAAATCGGATAACTAATAAGAAAGTTATGAATATTTAATGACATGAAAAACTTTGAAAATCACAAGACAAATTGGCAACTCACTCATGAGTCTGTGACATCATTGCCTCACTATTCACTCATTGTTTTCTTTATATTGATAATATAAACTTCCAATTTCCCCCCTAAACTTATTTCCTCACACCAGTGTCCAAGTTATAATGATAATAATAAGTTTTTGTGTTGATGAACCAAAATAGAGTAATCAGGAAAAATTTAAATTTTGATAAACTATTTATATAAAAATTCAATGATTATGAATATACAATATTCAGAAATTAGTATCAATTTTACAAAGTTCATAAAAGATTTTGTCAAATGTCATGTACGAAATCTGATACAAATCATATTACCTGGTCAAAGCCATGGGAAAATCAAGTTTTGGGGGATAAAAAGGGAAATTAATGGGATAAAAATATATAAAGCAATTGATAAATCGTGAGGCAATGAGGTCACAAACTGATAACCAAATTGGCAATATGTGTAGTGATTTTCTAAGTTCCATAGTTTTTCACACTTTAAAAGAAATTCATAACTTTCTTCTTGATTTCTTTGGTTGCTGGTGGCTCGTCTCTATAATTTATGACCCCCTCCCTCTCTTGAAATCATATTTTGTTCTTAGTTCAAATATATGTTGAAGTCGCATGATCTGTTGAAATCAAAGTTTTAAATGTTCGAGTATATCGATCCTGCCTAATCTTTGGTTTAAATCAACTTGTCACATTATAAAGTGAGAGATATAGTGAGAGATATATTTCCTCCTGTTCGTGGGATTGTGTTGATCACCTTTTGGTGTTGTATATGATCAACTGGAGCGTGCCATTCATATTAACTCACTTTGTTCTTCTATCTTGTCCTTTGTAGGGAAATTTATATGCAATGCTGGCAGTGGCAAAGGTCTCGTTAGCATTAACAAAGTATGTGATGGGAAGGTTGATTGTATTGATGGTACAGACGAGACAAATTGTTGTAAGTATTTTATTGTACACGATTCGAAATCTGTTTTAGAAGGAGTTACATTAGAGATAACTCTGTTTGGCTTAGATAAACAACGCTCAAAACAGTGGAATCCTCCCTCAAAAGGGTCATACAACCACTACTTTGGAGTCGATTCAAGTGCACAGTATTTTAAAGTGATCTGATACACTCCTTTGATAGTGGATTTCCTCTCCTCTGCATTAAAAAAAATATAGAGCAGAAAATGGTACTTCTCATCATTTCATTTACGTTTTACATATATCTTCTGCTTCAGTTCATATTTTGACACAATTCGTGTTACCATTTTTTTTAAAACGCATTCAATATTAAACCTGATTTGAATAGCACATGTTTATTCTAACAGTGATAAAATAGATTGTCCCGAGAACTTTCGCTCGAGTTTGATCCCCTTTGTTTTTAAGCCTTCATAAAATGATGATTCAGGACATACAAAATGTGTAACTGAGAATAGGAGAATAACAATGCAGTGGATAAATAGGCAAGATATTCTTCACTTACTTTATCTTTCTTGACATTTTCATTAGCTGTCATCCTGGCAACAGACGAAACGGTTTTCCTTGCCTCCTACACTTATCCTTCTTACGTGAACTATGGAAATGACTACATCTATTCAAGCTGGATCGTTTCATCAGCAGACAGTGCAAATGCTCTGATAGTCCAAGTTGAATATATTAAACTCTATTTTGGTGACTCACTTATCATACGTAACATTGGTGCAACTACAAGCCGGAGAGAGACCACGTGGTCATTTGCAGATGATACAACCTTTACTTGGAGCGATATTGCAGATAAAGTATTCCCAGAGGGAGAACTGTCGGTGGAATTCAAGAGCCTGTATGGCGGAGGTTTTGGTCTCGAAATACTTGCACTCCCGCTGGAAGGTATTTATCCCTTTTCTACACGGTGTCTAATTTTGTTTTTAACTGCACCTGATCTATAGACCTAAAGACATGCACTTTTTGGGTGCAGCTCATAAAATCACTTGCGGACAAAACTGTTCGGGAAATGCTTTTTTAAGAAAAAGATTGGAAGGGCTTCCTTTGCTTTATGCATGTACTTGAAAGCACCTAATGAGTAGTTGGTCCATGATAGTGCAAATGCTTAATATTTTGGCATAGCCACAGTAAGGTTAAATGCTTTAAATTAACTGTTGAGTTATAGTCATTGAGGTTGAACACTGAAATTCTCAACGAGCTGGGACCACGGGGAACAAATTTAATTGTTATTTTCTCGTCGGTTATTGGTCTTCTTATTTCAGTTATCTTGTAACATCAACTGGTGATTTAATGGCATCCCTTCTCCTAATTTCCAATCTGCTTTGTCCTTATTTGTTTGCTCTTCTCGTGCCTTCTTTTCTTTATCTGACTATCCTTTTTTTTCTTTATCTGACTATCCTTTTTTTTCTTTATCTGACTATCCTTTTTTTTCTTTATCTGACTATCCTTTTTTTTCTTTATCTGACTATCCTTTTTTTTCTTTATCTGACTATCCTTTTTTTCTTTATCTGACTATCCTTTTTTTTCTTTATCTGACTATCCTTTTTTTTTCTTTATCTGACTATCCTTTTTTTTTTGTCATACTTTTTGCAGTAAACTTGTTTTTTATTTGTTCATGACATTCTCAACACAAGTTTTTTATGGTATTTCCCTCCTTCTGCTTTAATAGCATTGTTTGATGGAGTGATCTTTCTTTTACACATTACTGTACTTTGCCAGAAGGAAATAAATGTAAATGTTTTCTTGACAATGCATGCAATGTAACTTTGTTATGCTTTATTCTTTCTTTAGATATCATAACATGTGATGCTGGAGATAAGATCGCTCCGCCTGGAAACAGATGTGATGGTACTGTGGACTGTACTGACTTACGTGATGAGCTTGATTGCCGTAAGATTTGTTGATTTTTCCATGTCACTTTGGTTTTCCTATGAAAATTATGATAAAGACTAAAGAATGTTTTAATTTTGAAACTAATTCGAAACAGGAACTAGGATCGTGTCACAGGAAATGTAAATGTGACCCGGCACCACAAAACCACCAAAAAGTAGCAAAAATTATTTTCCTGATTTCATCTGATTATGAAAGAAGAAGTTCTCCTCTTTAAAATGGTATATTGCTTGTCCAAATTGAAGCTTCCTAACCCTTTTAATTTAGTGAATGAAAAGAGCTGGTGAGGGAGGTTACTGGTATTAAATTGTGAGAAAGAGAGCTTTAAAGTTTGGGGCTATTCAAGCATGCGGAGCAAGCAAACCACAGGGAAATCAATAGAAGGGTGAATCAAAAGGCCATAGCAACCACTATGAAGAGATTTTCAGATTAGGCTAAAATTTGGCCTGATGGTCAAACATAGTCTGTTCATTATGTTTCTGAGGTTTCAATGTGTGGACTTAAGTCTTTCAAAAGTTATTATGTTGTATGTGTATAGAGTTGTAATTGGACAGATTAAGTGAACTGCAACATAGTGCCGAGACACCTGCACTAGACAATGCCTATTCATGGTGGACCCAGAGTCTTTTTGTTCCCCCTTACATAACACTGCTTGTCACCTATCTTGTTTTGTATACATCTGGGCAATTATTTGTAACCACATTATGAACTTGCTTTATACTTAATTCCCATACTGTTTTCTTTCTCACAGGAGGTTCAAAGTATTTTTACTATGACTTGCTCTTTCATTTCCAGTAGCCATCCTGATGATAATTAATGGAAGCAATTCATAAATACCAGCCAGAAAGTGGTATAAAAATAAAGAAAGGCAGGAGACACACAGTAAAGACACCAACATAGAATAACGAAAAATAGAAAGAATGAGAGAGAGAGACAGAGAGGGAAAAGAAGGGGGAGAATTATGATAGCTGTAAGCAAAATGATGATATCAAGAGTGTGAATGTGTGTTTACAATAAGAACTTGATTTCAAAACTCTTATGGGAGAATAAATTTGGAAGCACAGAAATGAAAACAAAATTATTTAGGGAATGTCACAACTCTTTCTCATCCTGTATCACAAGTTTAAAAATGCAACAACTCTCTCTCATCCTTTATCACAAGTTTGAAAATGCAACAACTCTTTCTCATCCTGTATCACAAGTTTAAAAATGCAACAACTCTCTCTCATCCTTTATCACAAGTTTAAACATGCAACAACTCTCTCTCATCCTTTATCACAAGTTTAAAAATGCAACAACTCTTTCTCATCCTTTAACACAAGTTTAAAAATGCAACAACTCTTTCTCATCCTTTATCACAAGTTTAAAAATGCAACAACTCTTTCTCATCACCTCTCGTTCGTTTACATTAAAGAAGTTTATACTAGAAACATGATTGCATTCATTCAAAATATTATTGTTTTAATCATTCCATGGAAATATTTCCCAAGTCAAATCCTGAAAATGACCGTGCACTAGTACATTTATCTGAAACAACTTCAAAAGAATAAACAGATATGCATAACATTATCGATATCAATAAAAAATAAGTGCATCCTACTAAGTGAAAACTAAACAATTCACCTCAGAATAATATTTCATACTGGTACCAGACCTGGAAAATATGTTTATAAATAAATTACTGTGTTTATTGCAAAGATACACAAATATTGCTAATTATAATAAAGCAGACATGAGAGTGGTCTAGCATTGCACAGTTATGTATATTAAACAACTATCAACGAGATGTCAATTAATATTCCACCAACTCCCATAAAATATTGGTCAAATGTCCAGGGGCTCTTTTCAACTTACACATAAAGACAGTGCACGTGACCCTAAGCATCCATGTATTTTAAGCATTGTATCCCACAAATAGATCAATATTTTTCATCACAAGTACAGACATTACCTTCAATGGAAAAGTTTTATAATGAACTGAATTTAGATTTGCAAGTCCATCTCAAAGCGATTGAATGTATGTATTGAACAGTGTGCACAAACAAAACAAAACACAATTCAGCTCTCGTAACAGCTAACAAAAATTAATTCTCCGGAGATGAAGAATCACCATCACTCTCAGTCTCAGCATCTTGCTCTGGAGCGGGACAGACGATGTCGCGGGTAGATGCTGTACAGAACTCTCGAATAGTTCTGTGCAGGTAAGTAGCTCGTGCTCTTGTCAGTCCGGGAGGTGATACTGGTTCAGGCAGCTCGCGCGGTGGTTGGTTGGTTGGTGAACGAAGAAGCTGGATCCTCTTTTCCTCATCGGAAGGCTGCACCTTTACAAAAGCTACACCAGGGTGGTCACGGTGAAACCTGCAGACAAAAATTGAGAAAGTTGAAAAAAAATAATTACTTTACTGTGAATTCAAACAGATAGAAAAGCTTTAGGTCATGTACAGACACAATAGTGAGTAATAATAGTATGGTATTTTGGTAATGACAATAAATAAGTAAAGATTTTACTATGTGAATACTTTGGCTGTGAATTAAAAAAAAAAAAATTTGTAGTGCAATTTTTGCATTTATTGTATTCTTTTAGAATCTTGACAGAAACGTGAATTGGAGTGTGTGGCAGATTAGCCCTCAACTACTGAAGATATTTAATAAAGTCTACAATAGAGGCATTTTATTCAAAACATGCTTGTGGTTTAAACATACATTTAAAAAGAAATTTGTTCGTATTGACTGATCTTCTATCTTACCTGATGTGATGGTACTTCTTGATGCCAACGAAAGGGAAGAAGAACGGTGCAAGAAAGCTCTGCCAGTCGTAGCTTGGTACGGTAACTGTACCATCCTCCAGTCCCACAAGTCGAGGAATGTTGTGTCCGTTCACAGAGCTCTCCTCTACAACGTCACTGATGTCCTGCAGGCTGCTGACGAAGGTCCTCTTGTATCGGTGTTTCACAAGGCCAAATGCACGATCGGGTGAAAACTTTGTGTGTCCGGATACCATGAAATGAACACCAATCTCGTCGTGCAAACCACACAGAGTTCTCCAGGCGAGATACCACATGAGAAATTTGTTCTTGTTCTGTCCTCCACAGTTATCACAGTGCAACTGCAGCACTCGCTCACCCCTCCCAAACTGATCAAAGTAGTCGTGAAGATAACTTATTACAGAGTTGGAACCTTTGCTTGAAGTCATCCCTTCATCGATGAGGTAGTTAACTTGCTTGTTTGTACCATCACATGTCACTCCAAACAAACCGCATTTCCTTGGGCATAGGAAATACATGGGGCCAGGCTGATCAGGATCGGTGGGAAAATGCATCTGTTGAGCATAGTCAAAGGAGTAGTGCATTTCCTCCCCATCTCTCCCTTCCTTGACGGCAGCTTGGGAGTCAAGAACCATGTCCCGGTATAGGTTCCTCTCAACAGCAACATGGGCAAGGTGTTCTGTCTGGGTCTGGATACGGCCGAGCTTGTCTTCCTCAGTTAGGTTGGCGCTCTGGTACACTGCAGAGTTGTTCTTCTGGCACTGCCAGCACAGGTCAGTTTTGGGGCGAGATGTGATCACAAAGGGGCAGTATCTCCTCCAAACATTAAGAAATGTTGTCTGCTTTGCACTTCTATGAGGAGGAAGTCCTGTAATAAAGGGAGAAAGAGTAGAAAATAAAATTGAGCAAACTCGAAACATCAATTTCTTAATACATGTTAAGAAATTTATTACTGAGAACAACTTTTTCATATCAACTGCACATTGCCTACCACTTTAGACAGATGAGTAACAGATTTCCCTTGTCTTAATAAATTATTGAAGTGTCCTGCTATCTAGAAGCCCAAATTTTTTATCAAACTTTTGTTGCTGTTATATCATAAAAGGAAATACAGGTCTACTTTTCTTTACAATTAAACAATTCAATACTTTTTGCTACATGCTGATTGTTATATTGTTATTATCATAAACAGGAAATATAGGCCTACTTTTCTTTACAATTATACAATACAATACCTTTTGCCACACGCTGATCATTCTTGGAGGCAAGTTCCGTCTCATAGCACCTCCAGACAGACGCCTTCGTCTGATTGGTCGGGAGAAGTCTTATACGGGGATCGGAGCTCTTGATGCCACTGATGCGCCCTGGAATGACGAGGCCTTGGGTGTCTGCGAAGTTTGTGATAAACGTCACAACTCTGTTGATGTCATCGCTGGTAAGAGCTGCTTTGTTCGCCTTGATGCCACCTGATGCCTTAGATGGAGAGACGACCCCTTTCTGTAGATAGCTTTTGGTGATATTCCGAAGCTGGGTGTCACCAACACTGTGAGATAAGAGAGGAAAATAAAGAAATTATAAGATTTCATGGTTCAATGAATCAACAACCGCATTTCATTATCCAGATAACTAATTTTTTAAGATCAAAATAGACAGTTCATTTCATATAAAACAAAACAGAACCACAATTAATGGCAAATCAAATTGATGCTAAATCAAAAGGTTTCTATTATTGTAAAATACAGGAAATCAAGTTTGCGGGAATAACTGGGGCAGTAATTAAACCATGTTAAATTTCATAATATCTTTTCTCATGCTCTGCCCATTTTATGATTCCTCCAATAAGAAATTAAATGATAATCTACTTCTAGCCAATAGCATTTTAGGTGTAAAAAATCATGTCCAAATGTGCACGGCTTGGATACGAACTGGCAAGTCCTTGCAAAGTTTTTTATTAAAAGTAATATTGAATTCAACATTGATTTGTGAAATTTTTGGTTAGTAATCATCTGAGTAAAGGTGTTGCATATTTAAGCAAAGCATGTTAACAAAAGGCTTCTATTCAACAGAATGCACTTACCTGTGTAGAAACATGAAGGTCTCCCTGCACACACGCTTCCCCTCTACCATGTAGCTGACTCTTGCCCTCTGTCTATCCTTTTGTCCGGCTCTCTTAGAGCATTGGGTTGTCTTACCGCACTGGATTGTCGCGCTCACTCGCCCCATGATAAACATTTTCCTTTCTTCAGTTTTCAACGCTCCGTCCATCATTTGCGCTCTCAGTCGCAGAACAAAAGTGGGATCAAACTGCGTGATGCACGATGATGCTCTTGACTTGCAGGTGCACTTTTCAAAGTTCTCTACACGAAGAAGTTCTTCATCGTTTGCTTCCGAAGACCAATCGTCAGTCCCAACTCTTTCCAACACTTCTCCAGCCAAATTAGGGACAACAAGCTGAAAATCATCATCTTCACCTTCATCCAGTTCCATATCCTCCTCTCCCTCTTCTCCAATGTCCATTTCGTCGTCAGTCTCATCGTATAACATGTCCTCGTCATTATCAGGAATTCCCTCGTCGCTGTCTTGCCCGAAGTGTTCAGTAAGCAAAGCTGTAAGGTTGGCCTGATCCCCCGCAGCTAGCCCCCGCATCATCGCTTCGTTGACCGCCCGAGCTACCCGGGCATCTCCGTTGGTGCACCCCGTTACCATCCCACGGCTCTGCTCACGTACAAAACCTGGCATTGTAACGACGTTGTAGACTTTTTCGCAACTTGTCACTCTCAAATGTATAAAATATAATAATGTTCTTACTCTTGATCAACAAATTCTGGATATGTGATGTACAATCAAGCTACTCGAAGTCGTTAACGGAGAATATAAGATCAACGCAAATCTGGAACTCGGATGTGAAAGCGGATACAAACAAAATGGCGCGCCGCACTGATTGCTATAACGGACCAATCACAGCCCGCGCAGCACGACCCGTTAGCAACGACCGACCATTTCCGGACTACGATAATTTCGCTCGGGAAAAGTGATCAAATTTTGGAAGAGACCGAAGGCTGTGCGAAAAAAACTGGTCTAGAAAAACCGTTTAAAACACATCTTCTACTATGTTTTAGACTTCCAAATTTTGATACTAGGTACAGAAAAGACCACTCTTTCAGAAAATGCAAAAAAAAAAAAAATCTATTTTTTCACCTAAGTTGACATTTTAGCTGATTATGGAGAATCGCTGGTTGCGACTTTTTGTTGGTTTTGTGGTGCCGGGTCACAAATACTCTTTTAATGCAAATCCACTTTTTAGGAGTCATATTAGAGATCACTTCCTTTGAGTAGAATCGACTCCAAATTATGGTGAAATCCACTCCAAAAGTAATGGTTGAATGGCACTTTTAAGGATGGATTCTACAGTTCTGAGTTTGGTTTTTCACTCCAAATGAATTATCCCTAATATGATTCCCCCAAAAGTGGCTCTCCACACCTGTACATAATTTAGACAGTAAAGAAGATGTCATTGAACATATTCATCTACTATACTCTTCAAAATAGATAATAGAATAATAATGACAGGGTGTATAGATCGGATGATTCTGTATTCATGTAATGCCTATCATATTACAGCTCCCATCGCAAGCTTTAATCTGAGTCTTGGCGAAAATGTTACCATCCAGTCCCTTGGATATCCAGTTTACTTACCTATCACCAGACCATTGATAAAGACATGGACATTCAGTGCAGTGGATGGGACAAGGCTACGTTTGGATATCATCCATCTGCAGATGGAAAGTGTTGACCATTTTACGCTAGGAACTGGTTTTGACATACACAATGCTTCAACGATTTTGTATGAGGTACTGTATGTATAAATTAGTTTTTTCTCATGTGCAACAATCCTTCAAATAGAATTCAGATGCACTTCCATCCCTAAGAATAAACTACTCTAAAAGAAAGCAGAAAAATCAGAGAAGCAGTCCGGTGAAAGTTTGAACGAAATCAGACAAAAAATGAGAAGCCTAGGCTATGTACTTTTTAAAAGTTATAAACACTATACATGTGGGCACTTTAAATTGGCTGAATTGGCAATGTCGTTGTGAAGAAGTGCCAGACAACTTCCCTATTTGTTCCAACACACAGAATTACTAAAATTGACATTTTAGTTAATTATGACTCAATAATAATAATTATGACTCAGGATGGTCTTTTTCTTTTTAGATAACATTTAATAACATGCTATACCCATACTCACAATAGGCATTTGGGAGAAAAACATATATTTTTGTACACAACAAATGTGAGAGTTGTCCGTGAATATGTCACAATATCCAGCCACCAAATTGCCAATTTGCTATTCATATGGATTCAATGATATCATATTTCAAACTCCCTTAACTTTCTTATATTCTTGATCTAATTTAATTTAAACTTTCACCATTCTTTTTCCACTTCCGTACAAATGAAATTATTATAAGAGTTGGTTTGCCCTTTATCACTGACTTGTTGCATTTCCATCCAAAATACAATGTAAATGTATGCTGCAACTGAGAGTTTATAAGCAATTTTGTGTGTGTGTATAGTCCTGCTTATGTTGATCCATACATGTATGTGCAGTTTTAGATTCTCCATAAAAGGGGACATGCAAGAATACAATTAATGGTAGAAAATGATTCCGTTATTCTATCTAGACATATCCCAATTTTAACCATTTTGGGCATGGAAGATGGAAGAAATACAGATTTTAGAATTGTTTGTCATGTCTCATAATTCATGGAATTTCCCCTTTATGTATTTGATGCCTCCTCAACAAAGATGGCATTATGTTTTTGGGGTGTCCGTTCGTATGTCCCGTTCTCGTGATCACGTTATCTCAAGAACCGGTTAATGGATTCTCGCCAAACTTGGGTCATATATGTATCTTCTAGAGCCAATGAACTGATTAGATTTCTGGGTCATGAGGTCAAAGGTCATGGGGCTCATTATGTATGCAAAACAAGCTTGTGAATCATCATTAGAACCGATGGACGGATTACCATCAAACTCAAGACAAATATGTCTGTGGTACATTCAGTAAGGACGAAATGTCTGAGTATTTTCTCATGTTTATTTCTAGCTATCATATGATGTTTACAAGGGAATTGAAGGAAACAGTCTGCTACCTATCATACCACCGGGATCTGAGTTTTGGATCGCATACTTCAGAACTCAAGGGAGTTTTTTTCACACATCTTCCTTTGCATTTGAAGTTACCGCTGTCCAAGAAACAGAAAGTAAATATATTTTCATCCCTTTATTATTCCCTCTCCATATCTCTCTTCTCGTTTAGTCTTCTTATTTCTTATTTTTGTTATAATGTGATTTTAACATGATCACAAATACTATCAAAAATGAACCCAAGAGTAAATTGAATGCCGTTTCTTATTCCCTATAGGATTCAAATTTGGATTATGTAATGTGGCATTGTATGTCACTGTAATTTTTTCACATTTCCAAAGGTAACGGATGAGGCTATTGAAATTTGCCTGAGGTTAATTTGTTTGCAATTGTGTTTTAAGGAAGTATGTAACCAATATTTATATATTCATTCTTTCATTCAATGTATTTATTTGTCCAATGTCATTCAACATGGATATGTGGTTTGTTCACATGTAAAATGAAGGCTCAGACAAGGTTTACAAAGAACAGAAATATGATACAAAACATGGAAAAATTTTGGTGATGACAAAATAACAGTCATACATAATAATGATTCTCGTTTGGTTATGGTTTCTTTAGTTTACTTTAAATGTCTTCAAGCATATTTAAAAGTAAGAATAATTTACCACTAAACACATTGAAAATTAAGCTTTTAAACTGAATTGAAGTACATCAGAATAAATCTGATAGATTGAAAATATGAATACTGATTAATATGTGGGCCAATGATTACCATGTATAAATGTATAACATTTATAAATCATAAATATAAATGTATATATATATGTGTGTGTGTTTATATGTATACATGTGTGTGTGTGCGTTGTGAATGTATTCTCCCATTTTCATATTAAACAATTTTATGTGTATTTTTCTTATAAAGCACCTTATTTACCAGTTACAACTGACAAAAAATGCTTGCAGCAGAGATGAATAATTTAAAATTGTCACAACAGAAAAAGGAATTCAATTGACATGTTTGTTAAAGTAAATGATATTTCGCTAGTAGGGCTTTTACAAGTTTTGATACTGCAAAATACAAGTGATTTTGTTTTTATATGCACAAATGATACGCGCAGGTTGTCAAGACAAAAGTCGCAATCTTTAGAGAAGTGTAAAGAGCCAATGGCAGGAAGAGAGAGAGAGAGAGAGGGATATAAATTTTGCTCCCGAAGAAGATATCAAGAGATAATAAACTAAGATTCATAGAAATTTCACTGGACCTAGTACATTGTATTATGGACTTGATATTGTATACATAAGCATACATTTTTCAAATGTTTTATTTATTTACACCAAATTATACATTAGATTGGTCTCACGATATCAGAGTACACATAACAAATCTATACAACATTAACATAATAAAGTAGACACATATACAATATATATAATGGATTAAAGGATATTGAGAGAAGATTCACTTTTCATTTGTATGTGTTAATATACTCTACAGTTCAATGTCCTGCTGGTGAAACAACTTGTGGAGACATCTTCTTTGAATGTCTTGACTCCACCATGTTCTGTGATGGAGTGAATGACTGCATACATGGGACTGATGAAGAGTGTGGTATGTATGCTCAATCATCAACATTTCAACACTTTTTGGACGGAGTTTTTGAAAATGCTACACTGGTCAGCCTCTTTTCTTCCAAACTGCAACATTTAGTTTTTATGTTTTTTGGTTGTCTGTACGTCCATAGATTTTGTGGTCATGAGGTCACAGGTCATGCAAAAATAGCTCGGCATCATGTTATCTCAAGAACCGATTGATGGATTACCGCCAAACTTGGGTCATGTATGTATCTTGCCGAGCTAATGAATTGATTAGATTTTAGGGTCATGAGGTCAAAGATCAAAAGTCTTCGGGCTCATTATGTATTTAAAAAAAAGCTTGTGATCGCATTATCATGAGAACCAATAGACAGATTACCATCAAACTCAAGGCAAGTATATGTATATCTTGCAAAACCAATGAACTGATTAGATTTTAGGGTCGTGGGGCTCATTATGTATGCCTATAAATAGCTTGTGAACGCATTATCATTAGAACCAACAGAAGGATTACAATCAAGCTTGAATTTTTAAAATTGCTTCCATTTTGGTTTGTAAAATTGCTCTATGGTGGAGGCATCATTTTCGACTGCACGCAGTTCAAGTTCCATCTAGTTTATTTTTAGTGTTGTATCTTGAAATAGAATACATAATCAGAAACTATTCTGTACATTTGTAGAATATAATTTTGTATAGTAGTGACTTCCAACGTTGCCAATTTTAAGATCTAAATACTTTGTTTCCTTATTTTAAATGATGTCTGATAATATGTTGCAACAAGGCAAAAACAGGCAGAGGTTGTACAAAATATTAAACCCTTGTTGCTATTTACTTCCGATCAATTTTTGTGAAAATTGATACCGAATTATTCAAATTGATATAAAAACGGTGTGATTCTAAAAAATAAAATTGGGGCATTATAAACAAAATCATGAATTTTAAAACAAATGTTCAAGTCAGTTTAACTATACTCTAGTATAATTGGTAATGTAAGTTTGTACTTGAGTCGTGGTGATAAAAATCTTGCAGAGGTAGCTAGAAGTCCCGGGTCCTTTAATAATTAATTGCACATCGTGGTAATATGGGTCTCTGTCATATGACAATTTTGGACCATATATTTGGCCTATTCTTTGTTTCAAATGATGGTCTAATACAAGAGGTATGTACATGCCATATCTTCAACGTGAGACAAAGTGGATTGCTTCCCAAATGCAAAATCAATTACGTTGTCAATGTATTTCTTAATTTCACGTATTAATACGAAAAAGATGTAAATTCGATGTATCCAAGAACAAAAACACAAGAAGGAATATATTCAACAAAGGATTTTCTACTCTCCATAAATATTATTTCCCCTGTAAACACCTATTAAGAATGAACTTTGGAGTAAATGAAGTACTTATACTTTATTTACTCTTTTTAAAAAAAATCACCCTCTGACAATTGCGCATCATGTTTTAAATTTGTGACCTTTACAATTCCACATTATGAAATTCAAATATGATTTTTTTTTTAAATGTCATGCAGAAGGTTATCGAAATTGCCTTAAAGCGGATTTCTTGACAGTGTTTGCTATTGTGCCATTGTGTTTACTGAATGTTAACAATACTATATGATTTCCATTGACTTGATGATTGTTTATATGTCTCATACAGAATGTCCTAGTCTTTGGGAAGTGCGATGTGGTCCATATAGAGCATGTGTCAACCGCAATAACTTCTGCACCAGTTACCATTCCTGTGAAACAGACTGCAGTGAGTTGCCTATGTTTTCAACATTATACAAATATATAAGAATGGAATAATATATACTCTAGTTTGCAATATTAAAGGCTAATTCCTGTCGAGAATAAGAGTTTTTCAGCAGCTTATCAATAATCAATAAGTAAAACAAAACATGAATCGATCACGCCATAACTTTCAACGGTTGCTTCAAAATAGTTTTTTTTTTGTGTGTTGGATATTCTTAATGGAAATTATTAAATTTGCAGCACAAAATCCAGATTGACCATGTGACTGTGTGACGTAGCATCCTCACATTGTGCTGCTCGAGCCGCTAATGCAGTTTTGTACAGCCCAGACATCTTAGGCCGTATATACCCGCTCTCTGCCAGCAAAATATAGAAAATCATTCAAAATACTTCTTAGCATCATTTCTCAAAATCAAAAGTGTTTTTAGGCATCTGAAATGTTTGTCTCTCTAATGGGCTAAGCTAAATACCTGACAGGAATACTTCTTTAAAGAATGTTATATCTTAGATCCACAAATCAAGAGATATCAGATATTATCTGTACTCTAAATACCATGATAGTATTCCATTACCCATCTATCTCCACAAATTTCAATGGTTATCGGTCTTTGGTTTCTTGTTCAAACAATCTTGTGATTTGTTTGATTGTTTGTTTATGTTGTTGCTGCCAGCCTACTAAGGTCGATCTTCTTCCCCTTTCTCAAATTCCTGAAAAGCGCTATATAAGAACTAGCTATTATTATTATTATTATTATTATATGGATGATAACACAAAAATTATCAAAGAGAAGTTTTATGTTTTTCATGCTTTTATTTAGCACACAATTTTTTTACAAATACCAGCTACGGCAATCCTTTCTCAAGTGATTATGACAAAAATTGAGAATAATAATCTTTCGCATTTTTAAGACAATGCAGAAATATTTTATAAGTAAGTTACCAGACACATTTCCTTGGAACACTTTACAGCACAGAACAACGGGAGCAGTACATGTGCATACACCGCTCCTGTTCTCTCTCTCTCTCTACTTCCTTCTCTATTTATATAGAGTGGAATGCATTCAATTGCAGGTTTTCTTTCTGTCTTAAGGGTCGTTCAGACATGAGGCAGTAAACAGCCCCTATATTTTTAATGTGTATTATTAATGAATGGTAACTGCATACCGGTACATTAAAGGTCCTGCATGTATTCACTAAGCCCTGTGTTGTGATACATATGATACTTTGTGTCATATAAAAAAACTCTGCGGTTTTGCGCCATCATATCTGACAAGGCCTTGATTGATATTGTTAATCTTTCTCAAATGCAGCATTTGCTTGCAACAATGGGCGGTTCATTCACCAAGGATTTGTGTGTGACGGATTCAATGACTGTGGAGATTTTACAGATGAGCGACAAGACTGTGGTAATTATAAATTAGTTAACATCATTGCTGCTCATAAGTGGTTTAGTCATTTAATGGAGCTTAATCAATTTAATCGATTCTCGATAATTATACACTCTTAGGTTAAAAAAAAATGATAACTCAGGAAAGTGATTATGATTTGGATTTTGACTCTACTCGATTTTGATTTCTTTTTTTTCTTTTTTTTTTCTTTTTTTTTTTGAAGGGGGTTAATTTTGATTTCATTTAAAGGTCTTAAATCAGAAAAGTGAGAATGATTTAGATTTCAGCTATTTTTATTCCTTTTTTTTTCTTCAATGGGGTTATTTTAAAGAAAAAGGGTGTGTATTGGGTTTATTGTGATTAGCTGTCAAACAGAAAGTATATCAAGCTTTCATATTAAATATTTTTTGGAGCAAATTAGATTATACCAACATTATTTAACATGAAACAATTATCTTCATATTTCAGAATGTGCAGCCCATCAGTATGATTGTGGTGAGAAATGCATTTACAAAAACAGCGTTTGCGATAGCTTCGTAGACTGTGCTGATGGAAGTGATGAAAAGAACTGTTGTAAGTGAAACTCACCTTTCAAAGATTATGTATAGAAGGATAAATCATTTTGAAATGAAGGATTAATTGGGATTGAAACCTGTTATTGTGCCCACTACGCAAAAGCATTATCACAGATAATATAGGGACACCCGCAATTATATCAGTATGCATGATCATTCGAGCAGCATCTTGTTCATTATGCAAGATCGGCAGCAGAGTCAATAAGGTTACAAATAAAAATAGAAGATGCTGTTCTGCGATGAAAGATTTGAAAACAGACTTGACACAAAATAAAAGAATCAGTTGACTATATAATGGAGTATATATATATATATAGTTATCCAATACATAAATACACTGTTATCCATGAAGTTGAAGAATTTTTTTTTTATAACCACTGTTCATGAAATAATTGTGACAATATGGTTCATTCTTGATAGATGAAGTATCATATCTTCTCAGAACTTTATTGATCAATCTCTTAATCTCTTTAGATTCATTGATAAAGTTCTGAGAAGATGTAGTCTTTATCAAGAATAAATCATATTCTCACAATCACTTTAAAGGTACTATATCCCTTTTCCAGCCAACCTCAAATTCTGTAGAACTTTGCAGGAATTTTGAATATGTCATGTATGTCCTATCTTTGAAATTAAAACGTTAGCAGTGTCCTCGTATTCAAATTATGCAAGGAAACCTGTTTACTTTCTAGACTTCACTGTCAGACACTATTGAGTGACTGACTGGCTTTTTTACTTCTCTGGTAATAACAAACATAAAATGAGCTGTAAAGGGTACATGAGCATTTGTCTACATCAATAACCCACTTCTTGTGATGGCCAAAATTAAACTGATTGAATCTTGCGCAGCATAAAACGTATTACTTATTGGCTCCATAGCTCCTAAGTTGATTTGACAACGAATAGTCGTTATTTTCCCACTTGAAGACTTTTTCAAGCCCCACTTTCTTTAGGGAAGTTCTAAATTAGTATTATCTTTCAAATGCCGTTGGAATTTAACCTTTTGATTTTTTTTGGCCTGCAAATGGGACATAGTACGAAAAAAGGTAAAAAATTGGCAGCAGTGTGTATACGCTATTATTACCAATTACAATTTATTTCGTCAGAAAAAAATCAATTGAAACTGGTAATAGTGAATTGAAACTCTCAAGGATCTTTCTTTCAACTGTTTTAATATATACTATATATTACTATATATACTGTGTATACATATTTGTGTGTATATCTGTATAGTGGTGTGTGTGTGTGTTTAGTACCAAATGGGCGCTATTCTATGATGTGTTTTCAATCACACATGACCATGAAGACCATGGAGGTTAAGGACAACTATTTGTTTGAAATCCATAAAAAAAGTTTCAGATTAATGGGAGTATTCAGTCTTGACAAGTGGCATGTATTTTTAAAAAGTACATTTGAATGATAGAGTAGGCTATAAGTATCGCATACATGTATTCAAATTGTGTGTGAAACTGAAGACTGGCACAAAGTAAAGATTTGAGACATTTAACTTTCTTCCACATTTTCTGGTGTGTCCCTTACAGCATGGAACTATATTCTTGTATATTTCTTTTCTTCAGCATGCCAAAGCTTTCAGTTTGAGTGTGCCAGTGGAGAATGTGTTAATTTCTGGCAACTTGGGGATGGAGCATCTCAGTGTAGTGACGGCTCCGATGAAATTACCGAAAACAGTCAATGTAAGTCTCTTTTCTTCAAGAGAATGATGTACATGTAGGTACAATGTTCATTTTAATCTGTAGAACTCAATTTAGATTACAGACACTTATCAAGTCAACATAAGTTTTGTTAGGTTTAGATCCACTTTTTTTTTTTATATACGTAATAAGTCTCAATTATTTTCCATATATCAGCTTGAATGCAAAACGAAATTCTGTAGCAATTAACCTAATTTGTTTACTTTGATGTGTGAATACAGTTTGTAGATTTTTACAAAAAGATAAATACAAATCTGCATTTTAAAATGACGTGCTGAAATTGTATTGTGTAAAATTAGTATAACAATGAATGCATAATTTGTTTAGTTATGAACATGTCCAGTTTATAAGATGCCACAGAGAATGATAAAGAGTAGCCAGCTCTTCAGCTGGATGCTTTTTTTCTTCCCTGATCTATTTGGTTAAATTCAGGTAAAACATTTAATGGTCGTCATAATAGCTTGCACTTTTGAAATACTGTTCCCCTTTGCTGCAATAAACTGCCAGGGCAAGATACACTGACAAACTATCTAAGTAAGTTAGTACTGTACATGCTTTGGTCTGTGCAGATACTTTTTCACAACCCCACTTGCCATTCATTCACATGTAGAATATAAAAATCCTGTATTAAACCACGTCATATGTGAAGGAGACTCGATGGTATTTGTCTAATTTATATGTTTTATTTGTCTTATATGCATAGACTGTCCTGGCAATTACTTCCAGTGTCATAACTTCGGCAACTGTCTAGCCCGCAGTGACGTCTGTGATGACCAGCAAGACTGTAATGATGGAAGTGATGAATGGTTTTGCTCTAGTGACCCACCAGGTACGTTAGTGTTTCATTGCCCATTGCACAAAGTGCATCATTTCCATTGCATTATTACCTCCATAAGTTGGGCCTGGAAAGGCAATCAGCCAGTACGCTGTTTTTTATGCCTCCGCCACGAAGTAGCCGAAGGCATTATGTTTTTGGGTTGTCCGTACGTCCGTCTGTCTGTACCTCCTGTTCTCGTGATTGCCTGATCTCAAGAACCTATTGTTGGATTTTTGCCAAACTTCGGTCATGTACATGTATATACCTTGCAGAGCCAATGAACTGATTAGATTTTGGGGTCATGAGGTGAAAAGGTCAAAGTCATGGGACTCATTATGTATCATTATTATTATATTATCATTAGAACAACTCAGAACATGTACGAATCTTGCAGAGCCAATGAATTACTGACTAGATTTTAGGATCATGAGGTCAAAGATCAAAGGGTCATACATATGTTTATGAAAAATAGTTTGTAATCACGATATTCTGATAACCTGTTCTCATGGATCACAATCAAACTTGAATTTTCGAAATTGCTCTGGTTTTGGTTTGTAAAATTGCCGCTTCATTTTTGACTGCATGCAGTCGTAGATCCATTTAGTTTTGAAAGCATTGTTTGCCCTTTTCACCTTGCAATCACGTTTTTGACAATGTCACCCTCACGATATCACGATATCCCCCGCCAGTCAAATGACGCCTCCTGTGCAATGGGATTATGTTTAGAATAGTAGATTATATGATGTAACGCTAAAGTTAGAGGCTCTTGGTGCATTTTATATGATGCTCCTAAGCTCCCAATCAAACAGGAGATGCATTAGGTCCAGCTTTGTATGACAGGAGTTTTCATAAGCAGCATATATATATGGTAACAGGTTCACAAAGACTTTCAAGAAATCAACTCAAGGGCAATGATAATATCCCATTGTCTTGCCCTCAGAAATCATTTTCGGATTATGTTGTATGTTGTATTTTCATGTTACTTTAAGTACATCGATCTCTTAAGATGACACAAAAGGCTATTAGCCTGTCTGTAGCTACTATTTGCACATGGGCAGATACAGCTAGGTCATTTGTACAGATCTGTAATACCCACTGAGATAAATACAGGATATATGTTCATGAAGTTACGTAATCATTCATTTATGCACCTAAGGTACACTGTATGATACACAGGTCGAATTATTCTTTTCAAGAGGGCAAACAGAAGTTATTCATGAAGAACTTTGGCAGTGGATATTCTATTAATAAATAAATTGATATTTCTCCATATTTAAAAGATCTGGGATATTTTTACCATCTGCTATCAATAAACTGGTCTATTGAAATTGCCTGAGGTTGATTTTCTTAAGTCTTTACAACTATGTTTAGTATTGATGATGCGGATCATATTCTAATACTGCCACCACTACACTACAACTACAATATATGCCATCAACTAGGCCCTCATAATAGTCATGTCATCAATTCTATCATTTCACTATTTCTCTCTTTTGGTGCAAGCCAGTCAAGTTTTTATTTTAGGCTTACATCACATTATGTATTATACATTAACTCTTATCCTGCCATAATGAATACAGCCTAATGCCACAGGGCTAATCCCCATTGTGCCAAGCCTCAAATCCCCCCTGTGCCAAGTTCATTTTGAGACAATCTGATTAACGCGATAGCCTGTGCGAAGCACTAGGCACAGTACAATGAGCATGAACAATAACTGCTATTACGAATGCGAGCAATCATGCATAAAGCACCGAAGCAATGGGTTGCTCGCAGGAATTAAGCAGCCACTCAATACGTGCTCGCGTGTACAAAGCACTATAACGGTAGCTAGCGTGCAGGTGGCCTTTAATATGGCAGGATATGAGTTAAAGTGTATTTGCACTTTGTTGTTGTTGTTGCTTGACAAGACATTTTTATGTTTTTCAAAAGGATTATCAGCAAATTCAATTTGGATAATGAATAATACATCCTGTACAAAATAAGTACATTTATTGTCTTATTCATGTTAAACATTTGGACATGTGTAATAATGACTAAGTATGTACATTTCATTTTGTGTATCGCTATCATGAATGTCTTTAAATCTTTCACAATTGGGCCACTGGCTGTAACAAAATAAAAAAAGATAATAAAACCTTCCTCTAAATTCAATTCAATATCCAGGAAATGATGATATTGACATTGAGCATTCTTTCACAGTATTTAGCAATAATTTAATTAATTTAAAAATATTTTTTTTTTAAACTGCCATATATTTTTATTATGTTTTCTCCAGATTTCCAGCTATTATACCAATTTCAATGTACACAATGCCCTATCAATCCTTAAGTGACAAACAATATGATTCAAGAAGGGAAAAGCAATAAATGCAGACGGAAACAGCAATTAAATTGTGAAATGATACACAGTATGAGCCTCATTGGGTCATTAAAAAACATGAGGAAGATACATATCAATTTATGTATTTTATTGTATTTCATCACAGATGAAGTAGTCCTTAACACAGGAGAGTGTTTCAACCTGACATCACCTTTATATCCAAACGACTACTCTAACAGACTAAACTATATCTGGACTATAACTGGAGCAGTTGGAGACTCTGGTATACGCATGAAATTCGATGTCTTCTCTTTAGAATCCGGCTATGATTTCTTGGAAATCGGGGTTGGTACTTTTGATGGACATTACCTGTACCGATTCACCGGGACATACTCTATTGAAAATCAGGGCGTTGCGGAGTCTTCTTAAGTGCCTCTAAAACACTTTCAGACACTTTCCAAGAACCAGAGTCAGATGGTCGGAAGAAGCGATCAGTTACTTCTGATTTCTGCAGTGCCTCCACATCTTACTACGATTACGGAAGTTTCCCCTATGTTATCCATCTAAACAGTACAAAGATCTGGCTACAAATGACAACAGATTCAAGTGTTGTCTATGAAGGCTTTGTCTTGCAGCTTATCTCTACAAGATTTGAAAGTAAGTCTGTCAATCAATTATAGAGACCTTCATCATGCTGTATATGTGTATATATATATACAAAAATGCAAGAAATACATGTAATTGTTTTACAATTTCTTCCTGGACAGAGCATTGTTTTTTTTTTTTATTTGTGTATATTCCTGTACTCCAAGTAGAACTCTAGCTTTCCTTTTTTCAATATATACATATGTATATATATATATATATATATGTACATATATAAATATATAAATGTGTGTTTGTGTGTGAGGGTATGATTAAGGTCACAGAATGAAGAATTGAGTTTAGAAGCAATCATCCTCTGCCCTCCTTCAGCTTTTATTTTGCAGATCAAGTTGTTTTGCTTTATATTGCTGTGTGTTTTTCATTAGCAAAATAAAAAGCTGATGAAGCCATGTGGCTGATAGCTTATCATCTGCTTTATCCTGCTTTATATATTATATGAATACATGTATATACATGTACATGTAGTATACATGTACATGTAGTATACATGTACATATGTATGAATTAAATATGTGATTTAAATAGGCAAATTAACAAAAATCTCAAATAACTAGACAAATGAATGTTCATAATAAAATCGAAAGATACAATAATTTGAATTGTACATGCTCTGAGCCCAGTTATTCTCAGTAAAACCATGTTGATATTTGTTTAGGCAGAATGATTAAAAATATGATGCTCATTAGAGAGGTATACATTCACACACTATATTGCCCAAAGGGCTTTCTCAAGTTAATTATTTTAATAAGGATAAATATATTTATATAGTATAGAAGTGGTTCTTAACAATTATGCTGATAAATCTGAAATCATTAGAACTATATCATATTTAAATTTCAATATGGGTGTTGCTTTCAGAATTCTCCTGTATTTCTGTCACATTTTATAGAAAACTGGGCCCTGTTCTATAAATCTTGATATCAATAACAAATGCTAAATTTCTATGACAAATTAGCTCTCGGCCAATCAAATGCCACAGTTTCAGTAGCTTATAAGAATTATTTTAACTCGTTATTGATAACAAGTTTTATGAGACGCTTTTGGAAATTAAATTAACCAAAATATTATTACTATTTTTTTTCTCATTTTTTTCTTCATGGATATTGCTATTGGAATGTTTCAGAGGGAGTGAAGTATTTTAGGAGGGCAATGCATGGTTCTAAAGTACTTTGTAATTTGGATAATAGTCTTTGATTGTGGAAAATATTTCAGAATACGGCACTAATGACCTTTGACAAAACATTGATCTACATTTGCCACACTCAACCCAGGTGATGTTAATGGGTACTTGGCAGGAATTAATTCTTTGAAATGCTAGAGCGCCGTAATGGCATCACAGCTAAAAAACCTCCAAGTTTGTAAGCGCTTGGTGATTGTAATAAGCGCTATATAAAAACTTAGTATTATTATTATGTCCCACAGAAAATGTTAGTACTATTATACAAAGCGTTAATCTAGCCACATATTTTTTATGGAATTGAAGTATGGGGAACCACAAACAAAACCAAATTTGAATTGTATTTTCCTTACCCAGAAAATGGCGATGAGAATGATTCCCTTCAGCCCGAGAGGTACCCATTCGGAACCCCTGTTCCGAAAGATTTTATTTATTTTTAAATGTACAACCTTCATTTCCTGTCTGTCTCAACCTACATCTATGACTTATTAAATGGTAATCTTCCTCGCTCCTTAAGTGAATACTGTCAGGTAATAGAGCACAGATATGGCACAAGGGGCAAAGAACATGGACAACTATATCTGCCTAAATGCAAAACCACACAAGGTCAATTTTCAATATCATTTATGGGCGTGAAAATATGGAATAGTATATGATATGATTTAAGAGCAATATGATCTAAAAATGCTTTTTGGAAGGGGTTAATGAAACATCTAAATACTTTGAGTTTAACAAAAGTTGAGACTTCCTAAAATGGCAATAAAGAAATCTCAGATTAGAGAATTTCTAAAAAGATCGTCACATTAGATAACGATGTATTTTTCATTTATTTTTTGTTCTGATACGGAATTCGACATACATTTGACTTACATGTATATATTAAGTAAGGAATATTTCAAAATGACTATTCTATTTCCTTGTTTACTTTCATTATATATATAGTTTATGTTACATGTATAAATATATGTAATATAGTATATTAAAAACTAGTTTTAAAATTCTTGCAAAAGACAGGGAACCAGACTCGACTAGCACTTGTGCTAACTTCTGGTACCCCCTTTAACAACAAAAGTGTACACATAATATTGTATTTCATTTGTATATACTATATAACATACTTTGTAAAACAATGTTTTACAAATCTTATTCATGTGTAATGTTATTTATATTGTGTTATATTGTTATATTTTATGTAATTATACTTGATATATTATGTTTTACTTGTTATTATTTTTGTTGTAAATAAACTCAATCTCAATCTCAAACTCATTTCTTAACATGAAAATCCATCAACCAATTGCTTCTTCTTTTTGTCTTTAAGGTGAATCCTTTGAGTGTTCAGATTTGTCGGTTATTCCAGCAGATAAAAAGTGTGATCACATATCAGACTGCCCATCAGGCGACGATGAACATGAGTGTGACAATTATGGTAAATTCCAAGTTTATATATTCTTTTTACTTTATCAATAAATCTGTGATTAGGCCAACTGGCCGTAAATTATTGAATTTCTCAATGAATAAACCATTACCTTACTATTATTACTATTATATTACCTCAATTGCAACTTGCAACGTATTTTTTTCATACATTTCTGACCATAACAAGTGGTTTAGTGTACCTGGAGAATTTACTAAAATGGTAGCCTTTACTGTAGTTAAGATCACATCAAATGTCAAGGAAATGTTTTATTTTTATTTTGACTCCGTCATAATTCGTGATTCTATGGGATGTATGGGACACACAAAAATTAAATAGAATGGACCTTCCTGTAAAGATGTTACTTTGTTGATCTTATTTTCCCAGAATTACTTATATTCCTACTAAAGGTACTATGTCCCATTTGCAGGCCAAAAAAAAATGAAAAAGTTAAATTCCAACTGCATTTGAAAGATAATACTAATTTAGAATTTCCCTAAAAAAGGTTGGGCTTGAAAATGTCTTCAAGTGGGAAAATAACGACTATTAGTTGTCAAATCGACTTTAGGGCTATAGAGCCCAAAAGTAATAGTCTTGATTTTCAGACAATTGTACTGAATGGTCATACGTTTTATGCTGCGCAAAGATTCAATCAGTTTAATCTTGGCCATCACAAGAAGTGGGTTATTGATGTAGACAAATGCTCATGTACCCTTTACAACTCTTTTCATGTATGTTATTACCAAAGAAGAAAAAAAGCCAGTCAGTCACTCAATAGTGTCTGACAGTGAAGTCTAGCAAGTAAACGGGTTTCCTTGCATAATTTGAATATGAGGACACTGCTAACGTTTAAATTTCACAGATAGGACATACATGACATATTCATAATTCCTGCAAAGTTCTACAGAATTTGAGGTTGGCTGCAAAAGGGACATAGTACCTTTAAAGGCGAAGTCCACCCTAATATTAAAGGTAATACAAAGTTTTGGTATGGGGTCATGAAATTGGTTCAAATGAACATATTGGAAGCATATGCAATCTTACAATATTGAGTGATTGTTGTCGCGGTTGAAATCGTGTCTAAAGTTATGAAATTGTGAATAATTAAATCTTTATGTTGTATAGCTCCCTCTCAAGGTCAATATATTAATTAAGCTATAAAACAATTTTCTTGACTAAAATAGACCGATTAGCTATTCCCGTTTGGAAAATATATCACAACTACATGTTCTGAGATTTTCATAGTCCCAACAACCATTGTACGTCCGTAGGCGCTATTTGAAATTTATCCAAAAAAAATTACCGGGAGCACCGGTAAATTTTTATATTCAACTGATATTCAACTGATGAAAACTTAAAGTTTTCATCAGTAAAACACAAATGGGCAACACTGTAACAAATCATACAAGCTCCTCTACAATTTGCTTTGTACAGAAAATTATAACTTTCATATTTGTTTGTTATTCATGACAGAACATATTTGTTTCATGTAGGGGTTGTATATTATACAAATATACACTGCCTTGAGAGGTTCTGGTTAAAACTATGCACAAGAGGTGACTCCAATAGTACTATTTGCTGAGGGGTGCAGCCCCAAAGCAAATGGTACTTTTGGAGTCACCGAGGCCCATAGTTTAACCGTACCTCGAATAGAAGGCATGGTATAAAATTTTTTTTTTTTTTTTAAAATCATTTTTGGGAAAAAAAATTTAGAACAAAAAAAATGTCAAATTTTATCTAAAAAGATTTAAAATATTTTGTTTTCATTAAATTAAGATTTGAAAAAAAAATTGATTCAATTCCAAAAAAAAATTCAAATTTTTTTTCTCAACTCCCAAATAGTAAACCAAAATAGTACTCTCATATATATAGTACTTTCTAAAAATAGGTCAAATATTTCTGGTCATGTGACGAGCTTTCAACCAATCAAAAGTCAACAAATTTTTGATGCAGGATATAATAAAAAACATATATGCAATAATTATTTAGGATGAATATATGATCAAAAATTTATAAGTTTTTAGCTCAGGGCAAATGGGAGAGGAACTCTCAAGAAATGTCACAGAGTTGCCAATTTGTGTGTGATTGATTGCACCTTCTAAAGTTCAAAACTTTCTTATTTTTAATCAGTTTTTGCTCAAACTTTCACTGACCTGTTTCTCTCATTTTCCTGCTTCAATTAAACCAACTTAATATCAGGGTAGACTTCTATACTGATATCAAACCCTGACCCCTACTGACCTACAACAGATAATGATCACTTTTAATTCAATTGATGGGATTAGCTAGTAGGTAAGATCAATATGTGAACAAATTTTATAGGATATATTTTCCACATTTTACAGCAAAAATCCTATTAGTAGAAATTATCATGCTTCCTAGCTGCCCTCAGGGGCGAATCCAGGTGGAGCGTGGGAGTGCATGCCCCTCCCCCCTTTTAACTTCTAAATTTTGTATGCCTCTGCAATGTAGTAGCCTGAGGCATTATGTTTTTGGTTGTACATGTATGTCCGTCTGTACGCCCTGTTCCCATTCCGTTCCCGTGATCAGAACTGACAAATTACTAACAAACTCAGGACATGTAGGCCTATGTATCTTGCAAAGCCAATGAACTGATTAGATTTTTACAGGTCATGAGGTTAAAGATCGAAGGGTCATACATGTTTATGAAAAATAGCTCGTAATCACGATATCCTGAGAACCTATTAATGGATTACAATCAAACTTAGATTTTAAAAATTGCTCTTTTTAGCGGAGAGATCATTTTCGACTGCGAACAGTCAAAGATCCATCTAGTTTTTTTTAAATACGTGAATAAATGTTCAGTTTACTCATTCAGAAATGCCTCAGAATGTGCCATAAAGCATCTTAATGTTCAAAATTTTCCCGGACTGCAAGCCGTAAAAGCTTCGATCGCGCTCAAAATTTCGTACAATTCACGCCCCCCCCCCCCCCCCCCCCCCTCCTACTGGAAAATTCTTGATCCGCCCCTGGCCCTGCTGTCAAAATCGTAAGAGAGGTGTCCCTGCCCCACGCTGCCCATCACAAAATTTAAAACTGTCTCTTATTTCTTCCGTAGATATTGAACTCTCATCTGAAGCCTGGAAGAACCTAACATACCAACTGGCCTACTCTGATCACACTGTTGATGCTACATGGCGGATCACAAACACGAGAGGCCTCAGCGGTTACGCGGTCCAGGTCCGCATGATTCAATTGGGCAAGATGAGCTCATTGGTCATAGGACTAGGATTGGATGATAGCCTTACTGAAACACGGGCCGTGGTCTTGTCTCCTTACTCACCACTGTTGGAGTTGCTTTTTGAATCAGAAGCGTTGTGGGTTCACCTACACTCATATGAGTCCACGGATGCAGCATTTGAACTTGAACTTAGACCTGCTCACATCGTAGGTAAGTACATGTATTTAGAAAAAGAATAAGCCTCGTGTGCTGCCATTGTATTCAAAATTAACTTTGTCCAACAATTATACGATAGCAAAGAATTTCGGAAATCAACTGAAGGTTAATTTCAGTAATACCCAATGGTATATCGCATAAATGCCATGTGTGAATTATATATATGTTATAGTAAATGCTCACAAGTCTTTATGATCGTGCTGATGCGTTTTATCATACACGAAGCCATTATTATTTCATACTTACATAGAAGGAAAAGTCAGCATTTAAAAAGGGTTTACTTTGTAGTGAAATCGGCTTTTGATTGCTGCTAAAGAGCTCTACCTGTCTTGTTTATCAGTTCTACTATTTGTTTAATGTTGTAAAGTTGTACTTGTTGTTATTACTTTTATGACATTATATGTTTGTACTAGCAGGACCTGCGGAAATCCGCGGGATTCTAGAGGGGGGGGGGGGGGTGTAAATAGATATATAGAGACTGTCTAAATTAAAACCACCAAGAACTTTATTTGCCATTCAGGCCATCAAAAAAATATACATGTTTAACGTCCCCGCCGCTTCCTTTTTGGGGGCCGCCTCCAATTTTTTTTTTTAATTTGTTTAATTTGTTTTTTTTTTTTTTTTTTTTCGAAAGGTAAAAAAACAGCGTCCCCGCCCGCTTCCTTTTTGGGGCCGCCTCCTATTTTTTTTTTTTTTTTTTTTTTGAATTTTTTTTGAATTTTTTGAAAGAAAACAAACATGAAAAGCACTGCTAAAATTTATTTCTGATTTAAAAAAAAAAAAAAAAAAAAAATGTCGGCCGCCATCTTGAAAAATAGCCCGAATGTCAGGGAAAATGTACGGAGCGGCCATTTTGAAAGAAAGAGAAAAAAAAAAGGGTCTCCTCCTTCCCATTTTTCGAAAAAACAGGACGCTAAACATGTTTTTTTTTTAAATTTGGCCTTATATAAAAAAAAAAAAAACGATCCAACTGTACCGGTAGTTATTCTTTAAGCCACTGGAACTGCGTAGAGTTTCGTAGTGTGGCGTACCGACTACGCAGGAATTAGGCTGCGTATTAATGGGAAAATAGTCCCTGCGTAGGTTATGCGTAGGCTGGCGTACAGGTTTGCTTATGGTTGCTTACTGTGTGGAAAGCTTTTACTGCTTTGTCGATCTGGCGTAGGGTAGCGTACTGTTGCGTAGGCATGTAGCGTAGTGTTGCGTAAAAAGGCGTACTTTCTGCGTCAAGTTTCTACGCCGAAACTACGCGAAAAAAATTAAACATGTTGAATTGTTTTCGTTCATCTTGCGTACCCCTTTCCGTCCCTCAGCATATAGTAACGTAGGCCAGCCTAGTTGGTACGCAACACTACGTATTGACCCCATGCCAATTAGTAACCCGCAAGTGTCACAAATAAAGTATTAAAAATATGCTCATCTGACCCTAATTAAACGCCTAAAACCCCCGAGCTTTCGGGGGTTTATGGCCCCTTGAAACCTGTGGACCCCACGCCTATATGCACTCAACCCGCTGCGATCTAACTGACCCCCCCCCCCCCCCCCCCCACTTTCAAAAATGTTTCTTGGAGCCTTCATGTAACATGCAAGAATGGTGCATGGTGATGCCGATTTTTTTTCTGCACCCCCCCCCCCCCCCCCCAAACAATTTTACTCATTACGCAACTGATTGTTTTGCAATGCATGAAGTCACATGCTTCTGTCTGCATGGTTGATATATTGAACTATTAATATGCAAATGTACAATTCATAACCTTATTCAATGCTTTCTTGTAATTTACTGTAAAGATAAGAAACAAATTTTTGCCACTTCGGCCCGCACGCTGTTGTGTTGACGGGTTCTTCGATGGATGGATAGACGTATGTGTAGTTATATAGTTGTACGAATATTGGCCTGCTTGGCCCCCCAAACTCTTCGACTCTAGCGCAGCTCAGTCTTGGTCAAAGCGACCCAGCCGCAGCACCGTGTATACTGTATGTGTTGACTGAAGTTAGCTTGCGACTGAACTGTCAGTCCAATGGTTTTCTTGTGAAAACTTTCCTTTAGAAAATGATAATCAAAATTAAGTATAAATGGCCGTAATAATCACAAAATAAGCTTTGATTTCATACCTCCATTCACGAAAACTATATCAAAATCGCGGCAATCATGATGGAAATAGGTCTCTAAGTTTGGACGTCGACGGGAATTAGCCCCGTGTATCTCTCTGGCTTGTGCAGCGAGTACAAAGCACACCCTATAGTAAGATGGCTTACTCGGGGGTTATCCTGCCCTTTGCATAGAGCATTTAATACGTAACATAATGTGAGTTGATGGTCATCTAATTGTGTGTCTGTTTGATACAGCTACTACAAAGCACATCTTATAGCAAGACGCTTTACTCTGGGTAATCCCGACCCTGTGCATAGTGCATTTAATACGCAACTTAATGTGAGTGGATAGTCATCGGTCGTGTGTCTACGGATGTAATGTTGAATATCCATGAGGTATCTCTGTCGTCACGCATATCCTGCATTATGCATATCGCGTCTGTTTTCGCCCTGGACGTCGACACGGAGGAGGACCTCGGGCGGAGTATAGCCAATTCCACAGAGTAGACTCTCCCGCGGACGATGGCACCGGGCACGGGTATCCCGAGGGGAGTGTTCAGGAGGAGATAACTGCACCAACTTCGGTCGGTGATCTCATTAAAAAACAATAGAATACAAAGGCTCGCGGAGACGTCGCGCCCCCCGCGGAGCCTTAGTGTATTATTATTATAGATTTATACATATCCAACATGTATATACATGTACATAGTTTTATTTATCTGCAAATATTATGGAAAACTATAGGTCCACGTGTTGGAATGATAAAATGGAAAATGAAATGCATTCGAAAAAGTTTCATGCTTTTTTAAAACAACTTATAAGTTATAAATTGTTTTAAAAAAAGCATGAAACTTTTTCGAATGCATTGAGGAGAAGGATTTGCACAAAGTTTTGGTAGTCAACAAAAATAATCGTCTTCCGGAAAGTTTGTGTGGATATTTTTGCTATAAACTCTAAAAATAAGATGTGTATAACAGCGTTTCCATGCCAATTCTTTTCATGTTTCTATGATAATAGGAGGCCCACTTCTGTGCAGTGAGGGCCGTGTGAACATCAGCAGTAATGCTATTTGTGACGGAGAAAAACAGTGCATTGATGGAAATGATGAAAGAAATTGCAACCACCCTAGTAAGTCATAAAAATTCATGTTCTTTAGAATGCTACACTGAATACTAGTAATGCTGTTACACTTTTGAAGACAAATTTAGGAGGCATCCTGAATGGACGATTATGTAGTAAATAGTGTAATATGGGACTTTGGATATTTACAATTTTTGCACGATTGATGTGAACTTTTCATTGGAAATTGTTGAAGGGCATGCAGAGATATGCATGCACACATGTGACTAAGTTATTTGATACAAATAGAGCTACCTTTTCCTTTGGGTACATTTGGAATATGAGAGCATATAGATACCCTTCTCAAATGATCAATACTGCGATGCAATTCACAAAGAGTGAGATATCATTACAATTATTCATAGTCCCATGATATCGCATTAACAAGCATTATTCCCTTCACAAAACAGGCCCCTTCTGCAAAGTGGACCAAGAGAATGGTACTGTATGTCCACTATATCAAGATTAATGTTCATTTCATTTGACATAGAACACTTCAATTCAATTCAATTTAATTTGTAATTGTTAAAATACAAGAAAACGTGAAATGAAGTTATAAAATGTTCATTGACATAATTATAATAGTCCAATGATAAGTGAAAAGGAGAACTTGTTATAAAGGAATAAAAAAAAATGCTTAATGTACTTTGATGGTGTGTGGGTCTAGTTTCCTGTAAGTCATTCACAAAAAACCTCCTTTTGCGTTGCTTTATTTATAGTTCTCCCAGAAGAGTGTGGGCTGCGCCCTGCCCTGGACGTACATCGTGTCACACACGGATCAGAGGTTACCATCCTGGGAGAAGCCCCATGGCAAGTTGCCCTCTACGCGAACGGTTTTCGATTTATATGTGGTGCAAGTATCATTGCCAATGATTGGATCCTCACTGCAGCACACTGCGTGTAAGCTATAACAGCGTTTTTTATACTGTTGCACTCTAGGCAACATTTGTGTGATGTTACCACTTACTCCAAATGAGCTTCCAAAGCCACTTTGTACATGCACCAGTTTAGATTCGAACATGGATCAGTAACTTGGGCATTAATTGTTTGCACTGTATTCGTATTTTTGATTGAAGCTCGACGTGGATGATGATTTGCAGAGAGACATTGATGCAAGAGGAAGTCAGATGTTGATCGCAGGCTGAACATCAAATCTCAGCGGAATGCCTGTGATATTATTGCTTCTGGGAGACGCATGAAAACACACCTCTACAATTCTTCTTACTTTGTTGATTGACTAATAAGGGATAGCACCTTTTTATCCTCTGGAAAAGGTGCTATTTAAATCCAATTATTATTATAATCAGAACATGATTTTTAAAAGGCACAATAATAGGTATACAGTTGCTCTTGAGAACATTTTTCCTTGAATCATGTTTGTTTTTCTTTGTGCAGGGAAGACTTCTACCAGTACTCTCCATTTCAAATTCAAGCAGGAACGCTTACTTATGATACAGCAGGGCAGGTCCATGAAGTATCCGAGATATTTATACACCCGCTGTATAACTCATATTCACTTGAAAATGATATCGCTCTCCTCAAGCTATCAACTCCGCTCAATTTCACGGATGCTGTCCAGCCCGTGTGTCTGCCCCCTCCAGGGGATTATCTTCCTGAAGTGGGTTCCTATATCACGTTTACAGGATGGGGAAGCTTTGGCGAGAGAGGAGGTAGGATTATAATCACACTTTCTACAGCTTTCTGAGATACGTTGTTCATATCACAGATAAAAATGAATACTGGCTAATGTAATTTTTGGAAGTTTAAATCACTACATATATGTGCACTACAAAATTGGCTAAATTTATATAGTCCCATGCTGACAATTTTCCCTATTTGTTTCAACACATAAAATGGGTCATTTTTTTTCAAAATTATGACTCGGGAGGGTCTTTTCTTTTCAGAGGACCTATAATAATATGCTGTCCATAATACAATACAATACAATAAAGTCATTTCTATAGCACTCTCACAAACTAAATGTTGTTTCACAGCGCTTTACATAAAAGATATCAAAGAATCTATTGTTGATCATGGTCAAAGAGGAGAGTTTTGAGGCATTTTCGGAAGACATCCAGCAAAGGTGATAATCAAACAAAACGTGGAAGATCATTCCAGAGTCGAGGAGCACATGCATGGAAAGCATTGTCGCCAGCTTTGGTGTATGTTCGAGGAACGTGTAGCATAATATACGTTTAGGTTTGCCCCAAGGGAGAAGGCACTTCTCAATGATATTTTTGTACACTATAAATGTGAGAGTTGTCCGTGGCTACCTGAAAATGCTCTGACCAAATAGCCAATTTTGAGATTCACATAGATTCAGTTATCTCATAATTTAAAATTCATAACTCTTATCATTGGTCCAAATATTTTTAACTTTCACCATTTTGTTTCTCTTATTTTTATGCTTTCATACAAATAACATATTACAAATGTTGGATTGCCCTTTAAAGGTAGGCCTACTATGTCCTATTTGGAAGCCAAAAAGATGAAAAGGTTAAATTCCAATGGCATTTGAAAAACTTCCCTCAAAACGGAAGGGCTTAAAATGTCTTTTTGTGGAAAAATAACACTTGTTTCCTTAAAAAGTCTGATTTTCAGACTCTTGTACCGTATGCAAATATTCAATCAGTTAAATTTTGGCCATTACAAGAAGTGCATTACGAAAAGCTCTCGTTAAAACTATACCCAACCACTATAGCAGTCAATGTAATCTGGTGGTAGCACTACCCAGATTGTTTCTCTCGTTAAAACTTTGTAATCTGGTGTAGCAATACCCAGTTTCTCTCGTTAAAATTTGAGAGACTACTATTACAGGCACCAATGGGAATCTGATGGGTCTCACTACCCCACTTTCAATTCTCTGTTAAAACTTGACAGAGTGAGGCTCTGAGTGAGAGATTAAGATATTGGATTGCAGCTGGACTCTACATCATCTTACGTAATACTAGTGTAAACAAACTCTTACGGGGTCTGCCTGAAAGGAAATGAGAAGTAATAAGTATTTTACGTTTTAAGATATTTTTATGTCCTAAAGTCACTAATAATTTAGATGAAGACCAATGAAAGTTCGAACGAAGCAAAATGCATAATTAACACAATTTTAACTCTGGCAGCGAAATGTGTCTCTTTCTCCTTCCTTTCCCCTTGTATCATGCTTATCTCTCTCTCGCTATCACCTCATCAAGGTCTCTGGGGGTGGATTACAGCGCTATGTTTACTTAGGGCTTATCAATCTCAGCTCTAGTACAGTAGAAATGGTGAAAGTCAAATGGGGGTTTCAATTTTAAACGACGAGTCATGGGTATGATGTAGACAAATGCTCATGTACCCTTTTCAGCTCATTTTATGTATGTTATTACCAAGAAGAAAAAAGCCAGTCAGTCACTCAATAGTGTCTGACAGTGAAGTCTAGCAAAGTAAACAGGTTTCCTTGCATAATTTGAATACTAGGACACTGCTAACGTTTAAATTTCACAGATTGGACATACATGACATATTCATAATTCCTGCAAAGTTCTACAGAATTTGATGTTGGCTGCAAAAGGGACAGATTGTCTTTAAAGCCTGGAGAGATAAATGGGGGGATTGGAAAATCATAGCACCTTTAACATAATGACAGTGTTAATTAAAATGATTTAACTGTGCCATATCTGAACAAGCCTTTAGAGGAACTTCAAACTTGGTATATAGTGAAACAAAATGATTGGATCTTTTGGGTAAACCCATTGCCTACTGGAACCGGGTTGCTCCTATCTCAAACAAAACAGGATTTGAGAATTCAGAAGTCATGGGTTAAGAAGGTCAAGGTCATCAAGTCGTCTAGTATACATGTAATTAAATAACTTTGTCATCACCATATCAACTATTTCAAAGCTGTTTTAGCTGGGAACTTAACATTTGTATTGAACTAATCTGTATCGCTGTATGGAGACAAGTGATCATACCTTGGTATAGTCGGGTCAAAGGTCATGAAGATCAATTAACATGTATCTATAGGCTATTCAAAATTCAAACCATGATCGTAACAGAGGCATATTGGAGACGCAATCACATTTTGTCTTCTGTTTTTCTATTATTTGGTTTCTTTTATCTGCATTACCATCTATGCTCAATTCAAATATATTTCAACCGTTTTTCTTTCATTTTTGAAGGGCCCTCACCTCGTAATCTGCAGAAGGCCAGAGCACCTGTGATACCAAACAACATATGTCAGAGACCTCTGACAAATATCTTACGTGTTTTCCCGTCAATGTTCTGTACTATGTACGATACTGGATATCAGTCTGCTTGCACTGTAAGTCATACTGTCCTTCATACAACATACATGTATTTTCAAACTTTTTTTATTGTTATTTTCAATAATCTACATCCATTTGTTTTGAAGCAGACCAACAGTCCATGACAAATATCTAATGCAATTTATGGTGATCAAAACATTTGTGGTGTTAAAAAAAAAATCAACATCACTGAACTGATGAGTCCACCCTAGTTTTTTAGATAAAAAAATACATACCATGCCATGCCTGCAGAAGAATACAGACCAAAAGGAATACGGCACCAAATGAAAGTATATAGCATCAATATTGATATACCGGTAGAACAAATATCTGCCTTTTTGTTGTGGCTCAAATTTATTTTCATTTTGTATGCCCCTATCCCCACCCCTTCAGAAGAAACCAGTCTCATGGCACCACTGAGATATGTAATCGTCACACCATTTCAGGCCAATGTTATCATCATTTTGTAATTTTTTTTGAACTTCTTCAAATGAAAGAGTTTCATTTGGTGTGTCACTTTGCTCTACTCATAGCCAGTAACAAAAGCGAACTCAGAAGGCAAATAAATCTGTCGTGTAACAGTACCTATATATCTATGATATAACTTCAAACAGAATATATATTTGTCATCACTCATTCCCTTTTTTCCCCATTTAGGGTGATAGTGGGGGTCCACTGGTACAGGAGGTGAATGGTCGCTGGACTATCTATGGCATCACTAGCTGGGGATTAACCTGTGGCGAAGCATACTCGCCATCAGGCAAAACTCGAGTTTCAAGTTTTATTGATTTCATCTATAAGACAATTCGAGAGAGTTAAACAAAATTATACTCATACGTCCAATTACTATAAAGCCCAAAGCAAATTTACGTCAAAACAATTGCAAAGACATTGGTCCATTTGTACTAATTCAGTTAAAGCCAACCCTAGGTCTAAGATCACTTTTAACAAAGGAAAGCTTATACTTTAATAAGTTGAACGAAAGCTAAAGCCCAATTTTAGTAGAATATGGGCCTTATGGATTTCAGACTAGATGCTTTATCAAACTAATCTCTACAAGTTACTATAATACATCCATGGCAAATTTACGTAAATACGATCATGAGGAGAGATTAATCAATTCAATTATTCTTTATGAATCATTTTAAAAGCTCATGGAAAATTGATGTCGAATTGATCGCAGAGGTTTATTTTTTTAATAAATTTTATCTTTAAGACCATTCTAGATTACGGTAATCCAATTATTCTTAACAGTTCACTTTAGATTTATGTGTATGATTATAAACATGACATGAATAATTTAATTCTATTAAGTTTTTTCTTTTCTATATATGAAAATTACTTTTCTTTACATCATGTGGGTAAATTTGATCAGTGTAGAATTATTAGTGTAATTTGCTAATGTAATTAAATCAATTTTACTTATCTTAAAAAATTAATGGTACTTTTCATGCCATGTTTGTTTATTGCATTAACAGTTACAGAATGATAAAAAGTGTAAAAGAATTTATTGGTTTAAATGTCCTTTATTATATTTTTGTTAAGGTATGACATCTCACTTTCTGTAGGGATAATTTGTATTATGCAGTTTGAAAGACAATCATATTTTACAGATAACTTTATGATAGCAAACGATACAAGGAATGTAATAAGATATTATAACATAATTATGATTATAAAACGGGTTCTAGAATGCAATTTAATTGGTCAAAAGACAACACATGACCATGCATCAGACTTTCCTACCACTCGTACAGTGCAAACAAATATTCCCATTAAAAAGTGGCTGAGATGCGCCTAAGCGTATTCCTGGTGGGAACACTATTAAGACGTGACAAAATACACGCAGTTTCAAATGAAAGGACAATGATGCATGCACTGTGACGCGTATTAAACTGTTTGACTGCCCGCTTATTTGATATTAATCAATAAAGCAAATGATGGCCTTCATAACTGTACGACTCTTGGCAATTTGATTGGTTTTGTTGCTTTTATCTTGACTTTATTACCACATTGCCGGCCCGTTTTATAAATGTAATTATTCAAGTTTTGAAGCTCGTGTATATAAACAGTGATATAGACTACACTCTGTTTATGAGCCTGATAATGACTTTGACAAGTCAAGTCCATTGTCCGATAGTAACTTAATACGTGCGCAGTGCATATTCACTAATGAACTCACAAACATGAATTATTTGTATACTATAATATATTACTGGGAAATTGGTTTTATTGGATTTCCCGGCCAAATGCACGTGTTTGTCATTCGAATTCATTTACTTTGCATTTAAGTTAGCGCAGATCGGCTTTGCAATGCCAATTATCATTCAATTTTCCAGTTTTTGTATTTAATTTAGGATTTTGGTCAAAGGGTTTCATAGATCTGTCATTCAATTTAGAAACTGCTCAACTAGCATTCAAATTAATATTCACTTATCGAAGCGTAATTTTTATCATTCAAATTAACACCTGTCTTTCGTATTCGTAATATTTTTATTCAAGTTAGGAATGTTCGGGGGAAGAATTGCAACAAACTTTTACAGTTTTTAAATAATGCAGTTAAAATGCACGATTTGCCATTGGGGTCTGAGCTGTTATTCCATTTATTTATTTTCAGGACAATGCAGATGGGGTGTAGTCAGACATAGAGTAAAGAAGGGACGAAATCAAGGGATATGGCATTTCTGCACGGACATGTTCATATACCCGGAAAAGGTGGGGGTACCCTTAATCGCCCCTTTTTACTACAGACTCGGAATTTTACAAAAGTAATTCACATCGTCTCTTATACCCAGCACAACCCTCTGTTTTTCTTAAAGAGTTTCATAGTTTACTTGCCCGCCAGCAGATCGATGGCTAAAGACATGGCTAAATAATGAATCACGTTCAAATGGTTGACTCTAGTCCCTACCTCAGTCAAATATTGTACCCTTCTTCCATAATGAAATTATGATGATATGATAAATTTATGATGAAACATAAGACAAACAACTTCCTTACATGAACATTTACAAATATACTGAGACCATCAGGTCCGTAGATGGAAGTCATTTTTTTCTTCTTAACAATCAAACTTAAATGCTGATGAATATCAGATAAATCTAATAAGTATAAGTGTATAAATGCAAGAAAATGAAATATGATGAAATACACATGAAAAACAATCTTGAAAGAAAAAGAATGAGCTATGAAAAGTGTGTAATAAACGAGAAATGTATATTGACCATCAATTTAAGTGCACAAAGTGCTAATTTAAATGCTACAAATGAATTAGAATGCTAAAAGTACACCGTCGCGTTGTCAGAAAATCGTGTTGCGCCAAATCGAATGACCAAATAGCGAAAGAAGCACATTGTTCATTAATTTGAATGAAACATACATAGATTCTAACGAAAATTCCATAGATTTGAAAACTAGAAAAGGGAATATAAACCCGAGATATACCTGACTGCACTAAAACCGTCGAATTTGAACGCAAGACAAATTAATTTGATTGACAAACTCGCGAATTTGGCCGGGAAATCCTATATTTACCTTACATATGTATATCAAATAGTGTAAAGAATTATAGTTAATGGTGTATATTTTTGTTATTTCATAATTATTGCTGGGACCCAATGAAAGGGAGATAAATTTTAAGTATTTTTGCTGTAAAAGCTATTTCTTAGGGGTCCATAATATGCAAGTATATGTTTAATATATGACAATTTATCAATGTATGGTGTAGAGGCCTGATTCTGTAATCTTTGAAATATGTCTCGAATTTGTATACTATATATTAATGGGAAATTGGTTTTATGTAGCAAACATATGTATATCAAATAGTGTAATGAATTATAGTTTATGGTGTATATTTTTGTTGTGTTATATCATTTAAGGTGTTGCTTAATAATTGTTGCAGGGACCCAATTGAAGGTAGATCAATTTTTAAGTATTTTTGCTATAAAACCCATTTCTTAGGGGTCCGTAATATGTAAGTATATGTATTATATGACAATTAATCAATGTATGGTAGAGAGGCCCGAGTCTGTAATCTTAAAAATATGTCTTGAATTTGTATACTATATATTAATGGGAAATTGGTTTTATGTAGCAAACATATGTATATCAAATAGTGTAATGAATTATAGTTTATGGTGTATATTTTGTTGTGTTATATCATTTAAGGTGTTGCTTAATAATTGTTGCAGGGACCCAATTGAAGGTAGATCAATTTTTAAGTATTTTTGCTATAAAAGTCATTTCTTAGGGGTCCATAATATGCAAGTATATGTTTATTATATGACAATTAATCAATGTATGGTGGTAGAGAGGCCTGGGTCTGTAATCTTAAAAATATGTCTTCAATTTGTATACTATATATTAATGGGAAATTGGTTTTATGTAGCAAACATATGTATATCAAATAGTGTAATGAATTATAGTTTATGGTGTATATTTTTGATGTGTTATATCAATTAAGGTGTTGCTTAATAATTATCGCAGTGACCCAATTAAGGTAAGATGAATTTTTTATTACTTTTCTGTAAAAGTCACTTTTTAGGGACTCATTTTATATACAGGGTGACCCATAAATAACGGACAAGCATAGTTCCAGTAGCATGGTGCAAATGGCAACAAGAGATGGGAAATCTTTGGAGAAGGAAAATGTTACCAAATCCACCAAAATTGGTCGAGTATTTCTTTTCTAGATACCTTTAACAAAACAATGTTGACTACCTCATCTGGCGGTCTTTCCTGCAGAAAACAACGTAGGACTGCGTTTTTTAAGAAATGGTATTATAACAGAGATTTGGTCAAGCTGTAATAAATGTCAGGTAGCACACAAACATAACATTCCACAAACATTTTTATTTTTCATGCATTTGTCAACGACACACAGACATAGAATTAAACAAATTGTTTAAGAAAGCAGTTTCATTGAAAACAAACAAATTTGAACTTCTCCCTAAAACGAAAACACTTCTACCAAATTTTGTGAAAACTGGTATTTTTCATGTGAAAAGATTCTCCTTCTGGTGGTTTCCGTGAATGTGACTCCACATTATTGGAAGCATGCTAGTCCATTTTTATTAGGCCACCATGTACTATTCCCCAAATTTTGAAGAGGCCAAATCAAGATTAAAGATCTGAACATGAAAAAATAGTGCAGTTTTTTTTATATTGAAAAAAAACAACTGTTCCTATGTGGGGAAAGGAGTGGGTCACCTGGAGAGACTTTCTCTATTCAAGGATGCTAAGGTTTCCCTTTTCGCTTTGAAAATTGTCTGACGAGCAAAACTGAAGGAGGTTTCTCCAAAAAAATGTTTAAATTGGCGAGGTCACTTGAATCCACGGAACCCCTAGGTACTTTTATTGGCCTTTAGTAAGTCTCTGTCATAGACAGGGACGCTACACAGACAAAGGGCATCTAGCCATATCTTTTTATTGATTCTTTCTCTTCACATAAAGTGTCGGTGTGTTCCTATTAACTGATTTTTACCTCTTTTAAGAATTACGTTTCTTTGTAAGTTCCATTTAGATTCTACACAATTTGATAAAAATAAAGATTCTAGTAAAGTACGCAGAAATACACGTTTTCTCTCCGATTTGTTCTTGTAAAAGAGTGGATAGGAAATTTTAAGTTCTAGTACTAGTTGTAACGGAATGTATAGTATTGAGGACCTAATTATATTTGTATAAATATGAATGTATAATATCAAGGTCATCCATAAACCCATCATACCTACATGCATACATTCATATTTTTGATATATATATATATATATATATATATATATATAGGCTATATATATGGGTGTGTGTGTGTGTAGACAATAGATAATAATAATGATAATAATAATAATACATTATTATAATGATCATTATGCTTATAATAACTATCATATTATTATTAGTAATAAAAGTGATAGCATATAGTAGTAGTAGTATTACACGTACGAGTAGCATTTAAAGATTCACAAAAGTGAAATTCTTTCCTGTTGGTCGTAGGTATAGTCCTGTAGAAGTTTTTCAGACCTGGAAAACTTGATAAGTACAAGTTTTTTTTTGTTGATTTGTGTTCTAGATGGATATTAAAGTAAATTCAGCCTGGTTGCCAGCTAGGCAACCTTGGGCAACTTTTTTAATAGCCCTATTAGCATAATCCTCTAATTAGCATATGTGCAATATGTAATGATGTTGCTAATCTCAATCCATCTCATGAATTAAAGTCTTTGAAAAGTGATTTACAATGTTGCATTGCACCATTTTTAGGCTTTATAGATAAACAATGACAATGAAATCCATACATTGTAC